ATATATATATATATATATATATATAGAGTCAAGATCAAATAAGAAGGAAATTTTTGGTAGGAAGGTAAGAAGTTTTTTTTCTACATATTTTTTTTGCGAACAAACAAAATGAATTATTAGATGATTCATTTGTAAGATGATTCACAAGAAAAAATTCTCAAAAAAACATCTCGATGATTCATTTATACAATGATTTTGTTACTATTCACTAAAATTATCATAAAATGAATTTTTTCTTAATTTACTTATAAAGGAATCATAAAGATGTTTTTCTGGGAATTTTTTCTTATGAATCATCTTACAAATGAATCATCTAGTGATTCATTTATTTTGTTTGTCAAAAAAATATATAGAAAAAAAACTTCTTACCTTCCTACCAAAAAAAATTTCTTACCGGATCTATATCCTATATATATATATATATATATATATATATATATATATATATATATTTCTTACCGGATCTATTTCTTACCGGATCTATATCCTATATATATATATATATATATATATATATATATATACACATATGTATCACACTTGTACAACTTTACTTTTAAACAAAATGTAAATATTCATATGTATTGTAATGGTTGTTTACTTTGCTTACTATGTGCATTGGATTTGATACTCAATGTGGAGTCCGCCCCAAAAATGTTTCCGCCTTCGTTTTCGGTGTGTGACATGGTTGATCGAATTAACCTGTTTCGGAAGGTGTGGTTTTCTGTGATGCTTTCCTAGGGTGCTAGATACACACTTTTCAAATGTGATGAAGTCTCTGACAGGAAGTCTAGGCACCATATCATTTTTCACAAGATGATTCAAGGCCTTGCATTAGCATGCCCGAGTCTTCGATGCCACAACATAGCATTTTGTTTGGAGACTTTTGAGACGAGGCAAGTGACTTGTTCTGGAATATTGTTGTTCATGTCAATGATGTATGCATTGCCATCCCGCTTTGATTTTACAAGAATCCATTCTTCCGAGATAACAATGTCTGGCTTCAGAATCAGACACTCCGTATCAGTGAACTGAGTTCAATAACCCTTGTCACAAATTTGAGAAACACTCAACAAGCTGTGTTTTAACTCGGGAACGTAGTAGACATTCTCGAAACTCAGCACTCCATTTGATACTGTTCCTTTTTTAGTGATATTTCTTCCTTCACCTCTCGCAAAGGAAACATATCCCGCATTAAAAGTTTGAATGTAGTTTAGTTAGGAGATGTCTCCTGTAATGTGCCGGGAACAGCCACCATCGACATACCAGGGTCTGGCAACATTCCTCCGCAACTGTCCCTGTACAATAAGCAGGATTATTTAGATTTGGGGACCCAGGTCATTATAAAATTGGGTTTACCCTTAACATTCATAGATTTATCTTTTGTACTTTTTGATTTTGAATCATTATTGGAAACACTTTCAGAGGGTGATGATGATTAGCCGGAAGTAGATTTAGGCACCTACTGGTATTTAGGTTTTGAAGATTTCACAAGTGATTTGGAAATGGTTTTCTTTAGCTTTGAGCGTTTAGATTTTCAGCTAAAATTAGTCGAAGATCCAGACGTACCCTTTGACGAAATCGATCTCGACTTAGTCGCAATCGATTACAGCATAGCACCTGTGGCTGATTTAGTGAAAACCTGTTTGTTTGATTTAAAAATGGTCCTTGTTTTTATTGTGATTAACCTTCCAATCATCATATTGAGGGTGAGATATCGAGGACTTTCTAGTTAAAGACCTTCCTCGAGACTCGTTCTCTCTCCTTGGTGAGGAAAAATGCACAAATGCCCTATTGGGACAATTTCGAGCGATGTGACCAGCAGTAGCATAGTTGAAACAAATTTGTTTATTATCACTAGACCTGATACCGCCTTTATTAGATTTCATGCTCTTATCTAATTTTCTAACTTTCCCACATGTGCATGTGCAGGACTTAGATTGTGTGATGGATGTAGAAGGTGTGGATGTGCTAGTGTCAGATTTGACAGGTTTCTAAAAAACAACACCATATTTTTCAGAATTATAAGTTTTAGACATTAAATCATCACAAAAAAAAGTATCAATCTTAACATTAGACACAGACTCATCACAAATAGTAACTCTAAATTTTGACACAAAATTATTTGACTCAATATTCTCATCCTCTTGCTTTTTCTTGCTTACTGACACATCTGCATTTGAAGTAGAAATGTTAGTACTTAAAACGCTAGCACCAGGTCCTGTTACCTCTTTAGCAACTGGTTTACCATAAATCATGTATGGTTCTCTATCAATCTCTTCTTGCGTCAAAGGAGTAGAAATATAAGTGTGATTAAATGGAGGAGGGACACTCTCATATCCTATACCTACTTGTTTCTGGTCCTTCAACTTCATTTTTTTTTCAATAATAGTTGCAACCCTCTCACTTGACATATCGAATTTTTTGAAGTTAAAATCAGCATTTTGTAAACGAGTTTTCAATGTATCACATTCTGCAGTTACAACAACAAGTTTGCTTTTGATGTGATCATAATTCTCACACTTGTTGCTGTAATCTTCTTGCAATTTCCAGAAGTCTTTAGTTTTTTCCTCTAATTTTTATTTTAATGTTTTTTTTTCTTTCCTAATAGTATATCTCTCATATTTTAGATCCTCATTTTCTCTTTTAATTAACACGATTTGATCACGTAAAAACTTGATAGTCTTAATACAAGATTGGGAACAAGTAGTTTCACTAACCTCCGGTTTTGCAGGCTCCGACGTGGTTTGAACCATGAATGTGAATTGGAGTTCCATCATTTCTGCTTTCGGGTTTGTTTCAGCTTCTCCTTCAGCGACATCATTGATTTGGGCGAGATGAGCATTTTCAAGTCCTGAAATATCTGAGCTTGAATCAGATCCTCCTAGTCAAATGATTGAGCCACCACCGCAAGATTTGTGGTCTAATTGTTGATGGTGGCTCCCTTGTTGTTATATACTGGCACCATTGTTCTTTCATTGTTCTCTCTCATATCGGGCTTAGAACATTCTCTAGAAAAATGACATGGTTCATGGCAATTAAAGCAGCAGAGTTTGTCTTGGTTGAACCTAACATTGTTTTCTGCATTCATCTCGTAGTTATTTTTGCCTGTCTTTTTGGAGAACTATTTAACTCTGAACACTACCATGACAATTTGCCATGTTATGTCCATTTCTTCAACATCTTCTGGATAGACATGGTCCAAATCAGCAAATAACCATTGAGGGGGCAGTTTACCAGCTACAAAAGCATTATTCAGTTAACCAAACCAGTTGCAAGAACTAAGTTCTCTTCATTTTCTTTGGAAACAAGAATTTGAGCAGAAACTAGAACACTTGTCTTTGAATATGAAGAAACTTGGGGATAAGGTTGGGGAGCAGCAAATGATGATTGAGCTGCAAAGGATGACTGAGCAGTGACAAATGATGATTGAGGAGTCGCAAAAGGTGGAACTTGAGGATTAGTAAAGTATGAGAAAACATTGTTTAATTGAATCCCGAGATTGGTAGAAGAATATGAGTTAACATGGTTGATCTCTCTTTGTTTTTCATCCATATCACAAGCTTTAATGATGGCCATGAGTTCAACCAAACTAACTAGATTAAGATTTTTGGTTTTCTTGATGACAACAACATTCAAAATGCATCACTACTAGAAAAAAGCCTTTTACGACGCTCATTGCGCGTCGTAAAAGGCTCAGACGACGTGCAAATGCGCGTCAAGGAAGGCCCTATCATAAAGAGAGACGATGCGCTTTTGCGCGTCGTGTATAGACGACGCGCATTTATGACGCGCGTTTACGACACACAATGCGTATCAAGGAAGGCCCTATCATAAAGGAAGACGACACACATTCGAGTGTCGTAACTTTGCGACGCACGTGTTAATGGCACGCAATGCGTATCAAGAAAGCCCCTGTCATAAAAGGCCATGCCATAAATGAAGATGACACACATTTTTGCGTATCGTAAATTTAAATGTTAAATTTTTTTTTTTATATATTTATTAATTTTTAAATTAAATTTTCATCTAATTTCTCATAATAGAAATAAAATACCATATACAAAAAATACAATCCATTGCATAATATAAAATAAAATTTCATACTCAAAAAATAAAATAAATTGCGCAAATTATAATATCATACAAAGAATCATTCAAATGTTAAACAAAAATAACATATTGCTAACATGGGTTATACATTCCTATAAAACTAACAAATAATCATACAACTCTGTTTCTTACTGGAAAGGAATTCCAAACATGATTACAAGTCTCCCTTAATCTTGATTACTCACCTGCTTAACTAGAATGTTGTTGTTGAGAAGGTTACCTAACAACAGATAAAAACACAACACCTCTCCCACAATCACAAAATCATTTACAGAAAAAGGGTTGTCAATTACTTTCATTAAGACTTTCATTCAATCACAAAAATATTAAATAAAAGTGTGAAAAAAATAACTTACTTTTGATAAGTTCATCTCCTTTAGATCAAACACAGCTAAAGCATCGAACAAGACCCTAGGTCCTTCTTCTAATGTAAACTCAATGCTCGTATGCAAAATTGAGGCGATAAAATAAAATTTGAATATTGTTTGGGTAGTTTATATATGATTTGATAATTTGATTTAAAATACAATAAAATAAATTATCTTTTTTGTTACCTTATGGGGCTTGTCAATTCCTGGGATTATAGGTTCTCTTGCTAGTATTAGAAAACGAGTTATGTTATCTAAATCATCCTGAACATTCAATATAACAATTGTAAGACAAAAGGAGAAATGTATATTTGAAAATACTATGAGATGTGATTTTTTTAATGTTATCAATCCATAAATTAAGCGCAGCAAATAGTTACCTATCTTTTCTAAAAACTATTATAGGGTTATAATGACCAAAATGCCCTTGTATTTGTATACATGTTTACAAATATAACTTTAATAACTAGGTGACACCTGGATTGTTTGTGCTAGAATATCAAGCCCAATTTCAGCAGCTCAAGAACTTGCAACTGCTCTAGTGTCTCGTATGGATTCCGAGGCTACAATCTATTAAAAAAACTCTTAACAAATTTTAAACAAAGAAAAAAACACAATATTAAAAGTTTAAACACAAGAATCAGCAACTAGTTTCATTTACCTATCCATAGTTTCAGTTTATAGTAATCAAAATATAATAATAAAGAAAAAAGTTGAGAAGAACTTACAACTTCTACTATCAAACAATGAGTCAGCACTAGCTTCCCATTTATCTTGAAAGGAATATATTCCCTTCTGTAAGAAATTTAGAGCCTTAACCACTTGTACATGTATAAAGCACATGTATCAACGCATAAGCATGTGAAAAAGATTGAAAAATTGAAGTGGGTATAAGGATAAAGGATTATATAGTATAGTTACTCGTTCTAAAGGTAAGAAGAATGCTAAAGCACTTGAAGATTTGCCTCCAGCATTTAAGGCAACAGCTCGTCCTTCCCAATCAACGACTGGGCCCCCACTTGAACCACCTTTGGTTCCTAAAGCTGATTGTCGTAACCAAATAAATTAATAAAAATTAATAACAAACCTGAAGCATTGATCACGAGTAGCAATGACAACACTTGAAAGGTTTTCATCAACTAAAGCCAAAGGTCTATGTTTCATTTCAACACCATTTGTTATAACTTAAATCAAAATATTGGATAAATTCAAGAACTTGTTTCGTTGGATGGAATAGAATGACAACTAGAAAATAATATAATAATAAACTATCCAACATCAACTTTCTTGATGCATGAGCAAAAGAAGAGTGAAAAGCTTTTGATGGAAAGTTTTATTTATGGACACCGGATCGATGATGCCCAGATTTTCAAAAGGCATAGAAAGCAATAAGAAATGAGAAGTGAAGGGCATCTTGATGTGCTGAAGCTTATATTCATACCCAAAAAGAAATCTTAGTGATGACTTTTTTACCCCTATGGATTCTGTTGCAAATTTTTCAGCCAATGTTTTGGTAAATCTAGTTGGTACCCATTAGAAAAGAAGAGTGTTGCTAAAGAGTATCTCATCTAGTAATTAACAGTGAATGCAAAATCCATCATTTACATACAAAGTTCAGCCCTGCATTGAGAGAGGATGGAATAGACAAGTGTTAGAAACTACCACATATGGGGTAAAATGGTAATTTAGTCAGCATACATTGTAGATGATCTAATTGATGCTTTACCTTAGTAGATGGTCTTGGAAGATTTAAAAGTGCTTACTGTATTGGAAGTGCACTGGTTTTATCAGAAAAGGACATGAGTACAAACAAGATGAAAACACTTTTATAAATTGCAATTTGTCAATATGTTGACCAGCTTACTTGTCATTGTTGACTAAAGATCCAACACCTATATCATAACAAACTTGCATTACGCTTGTAGACAGGATGCTCACTAGGTGCAGTTAACAAAGGAAACAAGAAGAAAACATCTAGGGATGAGAGAACACCAATCGAGCACTTTTTGGAATGAGAAAGCCTGATTCTTGAAACAATCTAACCAAGGGAATGTTTGCTCCATGTCTCAGAGGAAGCGTCTTCTGTATCCAGATAATCAGCGAGAAGTGCCAAGGCCTGAAACAAAACAAAATAAAATGACAACCAACAATCAACAAGAAGAAGTCGGAAAGAATACTGCATTTATTAACTCAAGTACTACTATGATAAACAGAAATACATGGACTTGCATTTGCAAAAATTTGATATACTCAATTGCATCACCTAGAATACTTGCTTTCTCTCTCTCTCTCTCTCTCTCTCTCTCTCTCTCTCTCTCTGTAGTTGATGTAAGTTTAGTTCCAAAACAGAAAGGGGAAAAGAACAAAAAAAAAAGACCCCAAAAAACAACAGAAACAAATTTTATCATCACCTTGTTGCAGTTGGGAAAAAGTGTCCAGAGGGTTCTTATTTAATCAGACAGAGAGTAAGAACTTCTCATTTAATCAGATAATTAACATAAACTGTGTTAGGATGATTATGTTCCTTGAAGAAGTAACACTTGAGTAATACTTCTATAAGAACTTCTCAACCAATGTAACCATGTTTCTAAAAAAGAAATTTAAGAACATACCTAGTTTCACCTGACAAAATTTAGTTTAAATGTTGCTTAGTTGTGATAATCTACAGCCTGAAAAGAAGGAATGCTCACAAGAACGATCCCTAGCTACCATGTCTGAAAGAAGACCGTTTCTGAAATTATCCGATATCTCACGCATGTAAAATTTTAATCTCTCCTTCAATGTTTTTGTATTCTTGACTATCTGAGAAAACTAGAAAAAGACATTTCATATTGAGTAAATATATAATTTGAAAAGATACAAAATTGATAGCGAAAGATAGTAATATATCATACTTGCACATGATGATTGGGTGATTTATCGGTGTATGGTGACCCAACAACAGAACCAACAGACGATCCCTTCTGATTGTAAGCACTTCTACTCACAGGAAACAAATCGTCTTCTCTGTTACCACTCTATACGAATGATTTCTTGTAAAAATATGGTTGTGACAGCTATTATAAAACTTCATGAGTTTGTAAGAAATTAAAGATAAAGACCCTTATCCTTGACTTCTGACAACATGTATCGAAGATTGCTCTTGTGGAAACAAATCATCTTCTCCGTTACCCTCCTTTTTCATCACTAACCTGTTTCCATTTTTCAAAAATTTAAAATCATAGAAACCAATATTATATACAATCGCCAAGAATGAATTTTATATATATATATATATATATATATATATATATATATATATATATATATATATATATATATATATATATCAAAAACAGACTCTTCCAGGGTCATGAAGGAGACTAAATTAATTTACATTACATCATTAGTTACTTTTTCCATATTCAGAATATACCCTCCAATTTTCTTAAACTCGTGCCTGTACACATAAATCAATAGATCAATAGCACTCTTATCAAGAATGATAAAAATTCAGAATTTGGACTTTTGATATACTTTTTTGGTAAACTCTAGCAATTTTTCATCTTTGTATTTGGTCATCATCAAAATTTCCTTGAAGCAAAATAGCTAAAATGAAAAGGCATTCAATCCTTAGGAATTTCCAAGGTTGGCATAGGCGGAAGGAAATCATTTCTACAGCTTTCTACTAGAGTTATTTCAATTAAATGTGTACGAAGAAGAATGTAATGTAGGAGAAAAACGTACAATTGTCTCATGGTCTTTGGAATTTCTAAATCTTCTTGTTCTTTGCTGGTTCATTTTGGCTTTTGTAATAACCAAAAGTCTTTAGATGTGAAGAAAATTTCTCACCTTTTTTGAAGGTAGTTGACCTGTGAAAATGACGTTCTTAGCATCATCGATTATTTCTATAGCCAGATCACTGTCAATGTGAAGAAAAGAAAGAGTGAATGTGAGCACTTGATCTTATAAAATCACAGATTCAAGACCCTTTCGTAAGATCCATTAAGACAAAGAAATCATGGCTAAAAAACTTTCTCAGAGTAAAATCATCGAACAATTATGGGGCATACCTTTTCACGCGTTTGTTCTTTGAAGCAATTAATTCCATTTTCACTTTAGGCACTTCATAAGCAACTGGATTATGAAGATAAAAACGTGAGTTGCCCTGGCCCCAACTTTAAAAAATCCTTAGTGAGACTCCAATCCCCAAAGCGAAGAACACGTAATCTGACAAAATTAACAAGCATTCTAACAGAAACGCCAAACTTATATATCAAAATCATGCGACATATGCTGAAAGAAGGTTAGGGACGGGGATTTAGGGTTCAAGATGGTGAAAGAATGATATAGTGATTTGATGTATGGATGCACGGTGCAGTGGATATCGAGAGAATGAGAATCTTGAGCATCAAATCTTGTGATGACGGCGGAGGTCGTGAAGCTGTGAAACAACGGTGAGGGTAAGAAAGGAACCAACCAGAGATCACTTTTCTGGTAGCGATCTCCTCCAGATGGTTGTGAATGAACCCCTACAAACCAGCTCCGAAAATATCATCATATTTCACTGCGAACTCTAAATGAAGCACTCCATGTAGGGAGGGGGAGAAAGAGCAGCCATGGTTATGGGGAAAAGAACACGCCTAGGGAAAATGAGGGGAAAAGAACACGCCTAGGGCAAATGAGGGGAAAAGAGAGCGGGTTTTCTAATTTTTTTGGATTTTCTTTTCCCGCTGTATTAGTTGCTAAAGAGGAGCCGCGCGTTTGTAAAATTATAAAGCGACATTTATAGAGGACGCGTTTAAGATAAGCGGCCTTCGTGTTTTCTTTTATGAGAAACTAAATTAACGGCGCGCAAAAATATGTATTCTAAATCCTATAAATTTAGGGAGAACTGACATTATTTTTAAGACACGTGCTTTTGCGTATCGTAAATCTGAGCGTGTCGTGGTTTGCACGTCATTAAAGGGCTATTTTCTAGTAGTGCATATCTTTGGGATAGAATTAAGAAACTTCTTGTTGACCTCTGATCTTGGCACTGAAACCCCAACAGAACTCATTTCAGTGGTGAGTGTGATAAAGCGTTGCAATTGAACTTCCAAAGTTTCTCCAAGAATGTGATTGAACATATTGAACTTCTGTCTTAGCATGTCTTGACGAATTTGTTTCATACCCTCATTCCCTTCATATACTTCAATCAAAGCTTCCCACAGAGCCTTTGCTGAAGTGTATTCTCTAAAACCTTGTGCAATCTCCGGGGATAATGCCATTGTGAGTGTAGCCAATGGTTTTTCTTGCTCTTCAACCTTTTCTAAGTCATCATCGGTGTAGTTTTCAATTTTCTTGTCAGTGATTGTTCCATCTTCAAGTGTTGTGGTGATATGAATTGGTCCTCTTAAAACGCTTCTCCAAATTTTGAAGTGTTTTATATTAATGTATTTTTTAAATCGATACTTCCATTATGGAAATCCTTCTGCAGAGAGTAAGTGAGGAATTCGAGTGGTGGTTTCCTTGATGGTATCCAATTCTTGATGAGCTAATGAGATTTGAGTAACCATTTTTTTTTTGTTTTGGTTTTTGAAGTTTCTATTTTTTTATTTTTAGTTTTTTAATTGATTAAACAAACAGACTAACAAGGAAAACGCAAAGGTTAAAAATGCTCAAACACCAACTGGAAGAGTTCACGACCGCACAAGGATTACGGCCGTACAAAGGACTACGATCGTACACGTCAACCGTACACCATCAAGGTTTTACGGCCGTACATTCTTTAACTAATTTCAACCATACACACCAAAAACACTTGAAATCCAAGTAAATTCTGATCCAATGGCTTTGAATGTTGACCAAAAGCAAATATCCAATTAGTAATCTCGAATTATCCTAAAAATAATGAAATAAGTATGGCCGTACACACGAAGATCAATCAAAATTGACACCGGTTAAGGTCTAATACCAATTGTAAGTCTCGATTTCAATGATCCAAACCAGTGATCAATCAATTAGCAATCAATTAAAATAAGAATGGAATAGAGGAAAGATTAAGCCAAGCATGCACACGTTAATATAACAAAAACGCCAGGTACACCTTGGATACACACAGATTCGTCATCCTTAACTGACACTAACACAAGCTATATATAGGACCACCAGCTGAACACCCATGTACGACCGTTCATAGGAGTACGGCCTTACACATGACCACATCCGTACACAAGATACAAACATTATATACACCACAATAATGACCAAAAATCTACCAAGACTTATACAAAATGAATGCCTAGCCCAAACCACTAAATTATGACGTATCAAAAACAAGTGAAATAAGACAAACTAATTAAAATTAAATGAAACGGGGGGGGGGGGGGGTTGTGAATTTTTTGAAAACTAAAAGACTTGAAGACACCAAAATGATTACAATTAAGAGGGATTGTGAGATGCTCAAATACAAGAGATAATTGGTCAACTAAAGCAATTCACCAACTTGAATACTTGCTTGTTGGTCATTAGAATTCAACATGTAAGTTTATTATTGAACCCAAATTGGTCTACCATTCATGAAGCATGAAATACAGAAATTCCTCAAGGGTAGTATGGAGGTTAGGGAAGCCCACAACACTCCTTGTTAATCCAAATAAAGGTATCAATTGAAGCAATTAGGTTCAATAAAATTGATTAGGATTAAGTATGAAGGAATTCCCAATTCCAAGAGGATTTCAATGCTTACATAACCATAAATGAGTCATGACCCATAAGAGATGATTTCTACCATCATAAAACTCTTGTTCTATATGTAGCTCCATGATTTTTCACATCAATTTTTTTTATTTAAAAGCATCATTTTACAAATTAACAATTACTCATTAAGTACCAAGCTCATGAACAAAAGTATCAAATGAGCATAAGAATGAAGAACTAGGAATAATAAACATAAGTTAAATAACAAACAAACATGAATCCTTCAAAACTCACAAATATTCAAGGGTTTTAGCCCAAGTCAACCAAATAAACACTTACCCACTCATGGCAACCAAAGTACTAAATTCACACAAGAATGAAGAAATAGGAATCATGGCCATTGAGTTTTGGCCTACTATGTAGTTTCAAATGGTAGGATTAGGGTTAGCTTTTTATGTTTTACTAGGTGGTGTGTATCACCAACCTTACGAAGTTACAAGACGCGGTGTAGTCCGTGTCGATAAAGAGGTGAGTCTTCTTACTATACTATGTAGGAAAATATGTGTCATTGTATGTTTGTTTGCCTTTGGGAGTTGCATGAAAGACCATGCTCAGATCATGGTAGGAAAGACTATAGTTGGGTTGTAGCAACAAAAGTGATTGTAAGACTATGGTTGGATCATAGAATCTACAAGACTGGAATATGGTGTTGGTTAAATAGAGTGTTGGATTGGATCTGTTAGTTGGAAAAGGTCCTTATTTGTATGGTATTTGGTATTTTGGATGAAATGGACCATTATCTATATAGTATGTGGTATTTTGAGGAAGGTCCCAATGTAAGTTCACCTTTGTAATCAAAAGAACCTTTAAAAAGGATCATCAATGATTTAATTTCAATAATAATGTCACTAATGGGTCACTCTTAGTCACATAGCTTCCTTGTATTCTAACTAGTTGCAATACACTCTAAGTTTATTCTCAAATTGTCACAACTAGCATTTTAGCTAGGAAATTTTGTTTTCATGTAAACATCAACTATTGTAAGACTTGTACTCTAAGCAGATATCATACTCTATGCACAATTTAAATCATCCACTTGAATAAAAACTTCTAAGTGAAGTTCAAAACCTAATACAATACATCTCATATATTCAACTATGGGTCTGAAACCCTAAAAATCTCGTTTCAAATTTATTATGGACTAGGATCCTTATATTGGGCCTAATAGACCAATAAACTTTCAATTTGGGTAAGTTGGGCCATGTAACCTTATTTGGGCTCTAATTGGACCCACATTCTTCAAGCTAAAGTATTTTGGCCCATTTTGGGCCTAAAATGACTCACTTCATTCTTATGGGCCTTAATGGGCCATAGATATTTTCTTGAACCTAAATGGGCCTAAAACCTATTATGTTCACTCTTTTGGGCTGTAAACCCCTAAGTGGGTCCAACGGACTGAAAACTTCCACCTTGGCCCTTGTAGTTTCAAGTATATTCAATTCTAGGACTATATTTCTCCTCACACTATTCCATTCTCGGCCAAATTAAAAAAAATGAAACGAAATATAGAGACATATTAAGATCATGATACCTCATTAATATCCTTCATGCAATTAAGCTTAATACACTTCATGTAATTACCCAATCCCATACTTCCATGCAAGGTTTTCCCTCTCCTTCTCTCTTCTTCTTAACTCTCAGCCAAAGAGTGTCTCACCACTCTCATTTTCTTTCATTTCAACTCCACCAAAAAGCTCTCTAGAACATCAATAATCCACTCACCATATCTCCAAATTTTCGAGTACGTCTTGTGAAAGATCAAGAACTCTTCATCAAAGCTCGTCACTTTTGGTAAGTTATTGTTTGACTTTATGGTTTAACTTCAAGTTTACACCAAAAATCTTTTTTTAACCCACCTCATTTCATGGTCTATTCTCTTAGAACTTCGTAGATCTTGAAAATCTCCTCAAAAACACATCATGGTCCGATATCTTCTCATTTCCTCACTAAAAACCAAAAACTTCAAAACAATGTGAGTTCATACCCCTTATTTTCGATTTTTACTTTGTTTTAGGGGAGAATACAAGTTGTTTTGTGTAGATCTATGCGTGTATGCATGATTTTGTGTGTTTTTCTAGTTATATATGTGTTTATGTGTTGTCAACTTCATAAACTTAAAGATCAACTGAAAGATGATGATATTGGTATAACATAACACTTATTTCAACTTATCTTACAAGAAAAAGGTTTAAAATACATATAAGTTACTTAAAGCTAAGAAAAACTTCATAAAAGGGGCTAAAAGTGACAAAATGACAAAAGAATGGGTTATTTGTGTAACTCATGGCAAGTAAGGGGTTCAAAAGGATTTTTTTTGCTAAACATTGCTAATTTCGACATTTGATACCTTACAAGGACTAAAAATGTATA